AGCTTATCTCAAACAGTGTTAGAGGTATTAACGTGAAACTTCATAGGTGGATAAATCTCATTGAGGAGGAGTGCGGCACACACCTACCGTGCATTATTTTTCAGGTATTGCCCTTTGTTACTTTTCATACTTAATTTCGTCCAGAGCATAACTACAAAAGCCTTTGAGATATCAACATGAAACTTCATATGTGGATAGATCTCACTCAAGAGGTATGCAGTACACAAGAATGATAAATTATTCTGCTCTACTACATATGCATGGCTCTTGTAACAAGTTACATTACAATACTTAAAAACCTTCTTTACAAGTTAACCTGTCAATTAAACTCAATGATATTTGGAGATACCTTAACATTATACTTATAACTTTTTTTTTTTTGTATTTTTTCTTTTTTTCGCCGTGACAATCACATTGCTGCATTTCCCAGCAATTTTTTACTTGTTTATCTTTACAACTGAAACATTTTCAAAAGAATATCTTTCTACAAAAAAAAAGATAAATTTGTAGGCAAAGACAAACAGACATGATAAAAAATTATATTAATTTTGTAATATAAATGATATTAAAACTTAAAAAGACTTCATGTGTAGATCTACATGAATATTTGAAATTTATTCAATTGAAATAATGCTTTTAGTTGTACAAAAATGTAACACATAATGAATGGCGAATTGTGCACTAGTTGTGAAAAAAATAAAACTTGTTACATGGCTCATGAAATAAATACGATTCCTTTAAACCTGGTATTGAGGTTCTGCTTATAAAATATTGTCGCCAAAAGCTGCAGTTATCAAATTTTAAATCAAATATTACACATTGGTATAAATTGTGAAGATAATCTAACTAAAGGAAACATTAATATGACTGTAAAGGTCGAAAATTACCACAAAAAAGTTTATTTGACCCTGTTAAAGGATGTTCGCTAAAGTTGTCATAAAGTAAAAACCTCCGTATAAAAGACATTAACATTTTGGCGACAATATAGGATTTTACTACCTGAATCGGTGAAATGAAAACAACATTTACTTTCTGTCTGTTTGTTCATAGAAAGTAACCAATGATTTGAAGGATAACAAGTATATTAATCACTAGTATAGTCAAAAATGACAAAATGGATGTGGGAACATTCACTTACTATATTTTTGCAACATTTGTTAGGAAATCTGATTTGAAATCAAGAGCTTATTGAATAGTCTTTCCGCAAAAAGGACTAAAAATTAAGCACATATTTCAGTGTATTTCTACTACGTTAAGCATATGGTCAAAAATGCACGATGATGTCACGGGTACTGGATTTTGTAAGATTGTTGATCACAGGTGGGGTTTACATTGGACACCTAATGGAAAAACGGAGGCAATATATTTTTCGTCGTATTTTCTTAACGCGCCGATGACAAATTGTAACAAGACACTGTTGCCAAGATCATATGTTTTAAGAACATTACGGTGAACAAAATGCCCCCAAAGTTAGTATGATATATTTAACTGGCCTTAGAGAACGATAAAAATTGCGAATATAAGTGAAATGCTTGTTTGCTTATCAATGTTTATTGTGGTGTAAAATGATACATGCTTGTGAATTTGTTAAAAGAAATATATTTAAACTAAAATTTGCGAAAACATGTGGTCGAACATTTCTACTTATCCATTGAACAAGTTTCGGCACTTCAAGTCGAATCGAATCTCTGAATATTAAATACCTAGTCTTATGATCAAACATCAAACATACAATCATCTATACTGATAACATTTCATGTTAAATATCAATACATTAAATAAACCCTAGAATGTAACCTTTATAGAAATTTACAAACTAGTAATTGTTCTGTAATTGTCGCCCAGGGATATTCGTTAAACTGGACATTCTATCACCCCATCAGGACAAATTATTTCTAATTAAGGACATTATTTCTAAAAATAACACAATCAATTTCCATAATTGTCAATCGTTGTTTTGATAGATTGCATCGCAAAGTGTCGGGTATTGCTTGGTGTTTCAATAATATCCGTACTGGTTCGCAAATATTTGCATTGTTTCTTTCAACGTTTTTCAAAGGTATTTCGTTACAAAAAATGATGATTTCTATAATGCTTTATTGATCATTAAAAGTAAATAATTAATGCCTAACTCATTAACTGATAACGGCTATGAAACATTACTCGTTTGTGATATTCGTTTATGACATTCAATATTTTATTGCCCACGTCTTTTATATAAGCAACAATCAATATAAATAATTAGAAAACAAATCATCTACGTAGCATGAGTCTATGATGTTCTTAAAAAATATTCGCTCTCATTATCCTGATAACTACCAATACATGTTCAATGGAATTTGCAACTAACGTTAATGCTATTTTTATCGTTTGATAAAAAATGTTTTGCATTCCTGTCCAGAAAAAGATAATTATTTATGAATTTATGCTTTAATCGAATCGTCAACGGGGATTTGATTCTTTATATTATAAAAGCGCGCTTTATACAAACAGAAGTTGTCTGACTACAGAACATTTTTGCTTTTCTGAAGGAAGCAGTATAATTTCTCTTACAGTAGAATTTGCCCTTTATATTCTAATTAGGTGTGATTTTTGTGTCGCCTCTACGGAGTAGTGGCGACATATAGGGATCACTTCTCCGTCGTCTGGTGTCCGTCTGTCCGTCTGTCCGAGCAAACATTTTGGGTTAAGAGAACAAAAGAGAACTATTGGTTCATTCCGTGATCAAAGGGTTTATGGGCTAGTAGCCCTTAAGAAAACAAAGAAAATAACAAAGAAAATAACCCCTAAACCCAAAATATTGGAACGTCCGTCTGTCTGTCTGTCTGTCTGTCTGTCCGTTACAAAACTTGTCCGGACTACTCCTCATAAACTACTGGTGCAATTTCATCCAAGCTTTACAGGAATGATTAGTACCAAGTATTGTTGTGCATATTGACAGCATTTTTTGAGTTATGGTCCTTTAATTATTTTTATTTTTAAAGTTTGTCCGGACTACTTCTCTAATACCACTAATGCAATTTCAATGAAATTTTACAGGATTGATCTGTAGCTCAAGTCCTTGCGCATATTGCACGGGTTATTTGGTTGAATGATTTTTGGCCGAGTTATGGCCCTTTGATAAAAAGGTGATTTTTCTGTGTGTTGCCAGATACACAAAAGCTTGTCCGGACTACTCCTCATAAACAACTGGTGCAATTTTATCCAAACTTTACAGGAATGATCAGTACCAAGTCTAGTTGTGCACTGTCTGTCTGTTTGTCTGTCCGTCTGTCACAAAACCTGTCCCTACTACTCCTCATTAACTACTGGGGCAATTTCATCCTAACTTTACAGGAATTTATGTCGCCACTACTCCGATCATTTCTCCGTCTGTCACAAAATTTATCCCAACATAAAATTGGCCATCATGAGGCGACACATGTGATCACTGATCGCTCTTGTTTATAACTTGAGTAATAATACATAGAAACTTTGACCTTAAAAATTAAAGTTATCTTTAATTCAGCCCCAAAAGTTGAATGGACCTTAACTTCTGGCTGATTATTGTGACTAAATTTTGAATAAGAAAATATATATTAACTTTTAAATATGCGTAATTCATTTAATAGTTGAAGAACATATTATCATCAGGGTAGATTAATAATCTCAATGTATCTAATTTTAGTAATAAAACCACGTTTAATTGTCTAAATGGATTAGATTATGTATATAGATTTGTAAAAGATTACAACAGATTAAAATACAGCGATATGGCCGGTATCTTAGATAAATATCACAGAAAGTTTCAATTTAAGGTATTAGGTGCCTTATGCAGAACTTCCTTTTGACAAATATTTATTTTCATTGAGGATACTGTGTTATTTGGTGCGTGGGTTCAAGCCTGTATTTGGGCTCATTTGTTCTTACATTTCATATTTTGGGTCTTGGTAGATTATGGTTTTTTTTTTTTTTTAAAGTCATTTTAAAGAAAGAAATATTTGCAATTTGATTTATACTTTTACTGTTAATTGAGTGAAAATTAGGTATATTTACAACTTTAAAGTGATTAGGTCTACAATGTGCACATTTTACATATGTATTTCAAATATTGATTTAAAAAACAATAGAAACTTATAATTTGGATATGTTCTTATGAAATGGTGCTTGAAATAAAATGCCGATAAAGTGCTAAGTCTTTGTAGAAGGGTTACTAATATACATGTATATGAAATATCCCATCATATATCTCACACTTGCCAACAGCTTCCGTGTGTAATTCTTTCACGGTTTTCTGTTATGTCTAATAATATAAATACTATGAGAGTAATTATTAATGTTTTACAGACATTCCATTATAGACCAAATTACTTTAAATGTTTATATTTCAAGATTGGGATGGTAAACTTCCCTTTATATTGTTGACACAAATGTTTAGAATTGTATTTAGATATTTATTATTTTAAGATAAAACGATATCCAATTGATAGATGAAAAATAGTAAGTTTTACAGCCCACCCGCTGTCTGCTTCATCAAATCAAACATTAACCTTATTCATTAATTAAGATATGATTTTATTTTGTTTATTTATTTTTTTTTTTGAAAACTATTTCTGTTTCTAACGTTTTTTACAATATGTTTGTTTGTGATTGGAAATATAAGGTTTTAGATGATTTTGAAGCATTGCCAGTCATACATCTAATACCTTAACAAATTATAGCCAAGAGTAAGAACGGATTTCTTATTAGGCGACTTTGTATAAATAACCTTTAGTTTTACATCTAAATCATTTAAGGTAAGCATTCATAAAAATGTATAACATTTTTATGATTTTAATGTTCAGAAATACAACTTCGCTCGCTGAATGCTGGCTGATTGTCTGATGAAATATATCTTGTGTGCTCGTTTATGCCGGATTCATTTTCTTTTAGTATTTTATCAAACACATTAATTATTATCAACATGTGACGATACTTCTAATATATTTATACTTTTTATGCTAAAAAAGTGGGAGACTTACCTACAATGCATGCAATTTCACGTATACCCATCTTAAAAGTTGTAGAATTCAAGTCCAAATTACGCCGATATTATTTAAACATTTTAACAATCATATACTATAGCAATTTACGGCGTTTCCTTTTTACACTCTCACAGTGTTTTAATTTCAAGTGTAAAATACAATATCGATTCAACGTCACAAAAAAAAATATTTTATTTAAAATGTGTTTGGTTGTTTACTTGAAAGTGAAATGTTCTACTTAAAGCTATTGTAGGTAAAAGTAGTTAATTCACTGGATCTGTGCAGACTGACGTCATAATAATTCATACATTGAAAAAAGACGCGCTTGTTAATCGAAATCGTTATTTGTTTATTCAAGCGGTCGGACACGATCTTAATTACTTGTTTAAATGTTCTTTTGTTTAAAGGCACAAAAAAAGAAATGTTTTTCATTACTGGGGAAAAAGGGAAAAAAGATTCATTGTTACATAAAAACTGTTTTAGCCTGAATATTGACTAGATTAAACGAAATTTTTAAAAGGGAAAATATTTTTCTAAACGTTATTCCCGTCTGTTAAGGGGGACTTTTTTAATTAAAACTAAAAACCCCCTTTGGTTAAAAAGAGCTTTTGATTGCAATTGATAACCTTCTAAAATTTTTTTTATATGCCCACCCTATTTAAAGGGAAAACACTACGAAAGACATTTAGTATCAAAAAGGGGTAATAACGCAAATGAAGGTTTAGTAACGGGGAAAAAAACGTTTAAACCAAAAAAAATTTTTAAAAACCCCGAAAAAAAAAGTTTGTGTAACGCAAAAAAACCCGTGTAATGAAAACCAAATAGCTAAAAACGCAAAATAAAAAGGCTTTAATTAACATCTATAGAAGGCGTTATTATGCGAATCGAAAGCGTAAATTACGCAATCAAAAGGCGTAATAAACGCGAAATAGGAGTTATAACGCGAATCAAAAGGCGTAATTACACGAATCAAAATTCGTAAATAACGCCATTTATAGGGTTAACGCACGTTTTTCCCGTGTTATAACGTCTGCAGAGTCCCGAGGAACGGTTTGGTGCCCCGAGCCCGGAAGGGCGAGGGCTCCAACAGTTCTGAGGGAGTCTGCAGACTTAATAACACGAAAGTAAACGTGCGTTGACGCTATTATAGCATATAATTTTTAAAACAGATTCCGCGATGTATAGTTGAAACAAAACACAAATTACATTAAATTCCTAGTGCTTGGACGGTATTTATCCAATTTTACATGTTTAACGTATGCGTTTTTATTTTTTCCGGGGCCAACAACATGGAAAAATTCTCAGAAACCGAACGAAATTTTTGAAATTTTGATTGATTTAACAAAGCTTGATATTGGAGACTTAAAAAAACAACGTAACATTACTCTACCCTCTAACCAAGACGAAACATGACACTCAGAAATTCTTAGAATGATTTCAGATTGACGGTAGAAAAAAGATCAGTGACCTCAGAATCGGTTTTTTTTTTCAAGCAAACAAGTTTATAAAAAAAATCAGGCACTAAGCATTATTCTCTCAAAGAAATATAAAGAGCATTTACCAACATAAATATAAATAAAATAACATTTTCTCATATTCATTTTGTGTTCTCTAGTTTTGTAAGTTAATACTGTATTTGTTTACATTGACAACTGTCCGTTTCTTAGAAAGGGCGACAACCAAGATTAGCAGCGATGTCTATACGCCGTATTTCCGGCATAATTACTTGAATGCTGCTCGTCGTTATGCAATTGAGGCCCTTGAATCAATAATTTCAATATAACAAGAGCGCAAGACTCTTTGGCAAACAGGCCACATCGTCAATTTTTTTGTTTGTTTACTAGGCCCTGTATGTATTGCGCATAGGTGAAACCGGGCTATAACAAGAGCGCGTGATTATGTTAACACATGGTTTTGGTCCCGTTATAACATGGGCAAAATAGGGGAAAATAGCCGATTTTATGCTATTATTCACTTAATAACGCGAAACAAAGGTGAAATAACGCCTTATTCGCTTTATAACGCGAAACAAAAGGCGAAAAACGCAAATCAAAAGTCGTAGTGACGTCAATAAAGGCTTTATAACGCGAATCAAAGGCGAGGCGTAATGAATCGAAAATTGAGCTTTAAATAGCCGTATTTTTTTCTATTTTGTTGATAAGTCATTTAAAACATCAGACCCTTCAAGTGTAACCAAAATATTAAAAACACACACAATATTTAGTTATTACATACTTTTATTTAACATGTTTTACATCTACAAACATTTACAATAGTGAATATCGTCAAAGTTTTATCATTATATGACTTGTTTCCAGAAGTTCTTCATATTTTCAAATGTTAATTGTTAATTAAAGGAATTCCACTGATGTTCAAACGCCTAAAAACATAAAAATGGAGCTTCTTACATAGATCAGATGGGAACGTACTACACAAAAATATGCATTACAAGAATAAATAGTAATATTGTAAAGATTTAAGAACATTACAGGAAGTAAGATTTTTATGATACAGCATTGTAAGTTGTAGGCTGTATGCCGTAAGAACTGTTCATTTTAGTATTGAATTCCTATATTGAATATTGATATGATTTCATTGCCTGGCCACGTTATCGCTAAGAAAAGATCAGGATCAAATGACCATGGTTTTGTTTACATTGTTTTGTGAAAACTAATATTGCTCGTATTTTGCAAGAATTAAATGGCACATATTCAAAATGCAACCAAAAATGCTTGATTTGCAAAAGAAACAACCTATTTTTTGGGATAAAATCGAACGAATAACAAAACACAACAGAAATCACCCGTATTAAAAATCAGATCAATTTAAGGTATCAATATCACTATTTGGAAATCTAACTGTCAAATGCCTATATCTTTGCAAAAATTTAACAATAAATTTATTCTTGAATTTCATAAATGTGCTAATTGAAAGGGGTCCATTTTTTAAATCAGTTTGATATTAAATATTTAATTAATGAGGATAAACAATAGAGAATATATGAGTTTTCGAATATGTTCCTTATCTTGATCCTAATCCTCCTAATCCTTTAATCTTCGAGGAAACAGGGTCAGTACGAATTTCATAGCTTATGCATGTGGATTTAAAAAAAACTTTCTCCTATCATATCGTTCATTTAATTAGAAAATTAGTTTATTGATTCTCCTCCATTTGAATGCAAAATCATCATACAAATAAATGTTGTGAGCAAAGTCAATACAATAAAAAAAAAAATTGAATTTCTCCGACATAATCACCATGTCTTCATATGTAAATTCACTTTCAAGTTGTTCACTAATGTCATCGGCATCCCTTCTATCTTCATTTTCAGTCCACGCAGTGTTATTCCTAATGGATAAGTCCATTTTCTCTTGGCTGACAACCTGTATAACTTTCGGATCATGTTCGTCGTTTAGCCCAGGATAATCACCAATTTTTCTTCTTCGCCTGAAACCGTTTTTGAACTTTAAATACAAGCAAAGTGACAAATGACATTTGAACAAATCTGTGTTTAACTAACGGTGATACAAACAGTAAGAAAATAACAGAATAACAATTATTTGTAAGAAAAAAAATAGATAAAGAAATACATTTTAACTGACTAAAAGTGGTGATTATCAGAATCTTAGTTACATGTAAATATGGTGATTATAGAAGGCTCCAGTTCAAAACAGGACATAGATTCAGTAGGTTAAGATTGAATGCGAAACTGTATTTTGTTAGTTTAGCTAGAAGCTGGACAGTTTTCTTGAATGTTGTGCCCATGATGTAAGTCTTATTATGGAACTTATGAACCCTGCATACAAGCACCGTAACCAGTGTTTTGTACAGAACACAGAATAAATGTTAATAACAAATAGACACCTGAAAACAAACAAGAAACAGCATGAGTTTCGTTTAGGTGAAATAAATGTTAAGCTAACAATGTCTACATTTTGTGTTAATGCTCACTAAGAGTTTTAAGAAATGATGTTGATTTGTTTAGGCATATTAATATATGCTTTTAATTAAAACACTATTAATTACATTGAACTTCGTCATCTGCTTCTTGCAAATACAGTAAAAACTCTGAAAACCGGACCCTCTCCGGACTTGACCAAAAGTCCGGTTTTCAGAGGATTCCGGTTTTCAGAGGTTTTATACATTTATTGATAATTATGATGTGTTTGAACAATGACTTTGTTAAAACATTTTGTATTTACATTTTAACATTTTTGTCTAAGTCATATTTTAATTTCTTTTAGCAATAAATGTCTTAAGTAATTTTATTATGCAAATCCATGAATATAATTCAGAAAATCAGAAATTAAAACAACACATTGTCTGAAATATATCTTTTCAATTGGCTTTTGAAATAATTTATGTTATTTTAAATGGAATTTAGTATTACTATTTTTGCATATAGCTCTAATAAATGATCAAATTTTTTAGCAAAACAGGAATCATTTTACAAAAGATTACTTTATATTTAAAGAAGAAAAAACGCACAACAAATTAAAAACATTTAGAAAAATCATACCTATACAGGGAAAGGCACAATTATAATGAAAGAACTATAATTTAATTGCCAATAAGAAATTAGTTAACACACACTAACAAGTGTTTTCACACCTGCATAGATAAAAATAGGTGATAATTAACTTGTAATTGAACATGTCACCTGTTGAGATTATGTTTTAATATACTTTAAAATACACAGAAAGTTGACACTTAAAATTGCTGTCCGGTTTTCAGAGGATTTTTTATGCATGTTTAGCATTAGAAGCCACAGAAAAGCGTCCGGTTTTCGGAATTCAGAGGTTCCGGTATTCAGAGGATTTTTTTCAATGAACATATAAAGAGAAAATACGGGACTTTTGAAATGGTCCGGTTTTCAGAGGATTCCGGTTTTCAGAGGGTCCGGTTTTCAGAGTTTATACTGTAGTAGTCAATGTACAGAAAACCGTTGAAAATTGTTACATATTTTACGTCAGAATGAAAGGTACATGTAGTCGCCAATCAAAGATTTACTTATGTTAAAGAAATACCACTAAAGAGCCAATGATACATCAACAACATACAAACAGGCAATGTTAAAATAATTGTTTAATTTACATTAATATCTTATATGTGTAGACCAGCATAAAATAATGAATAAAGAGATGACAAATATATAATCAAATGAATTTCTAAAGTCTTAAGAGTTACTAAAGTCTTTATTGAATTTAGTTGCCTTCTAATACATGTTGTTCATTACTTTGTTAGAAATCACTTAGGAAAAATAAGTTTTTTATCAAAACTTGGATAGAATCATACTTAGAACACAGATATGGGTCGATGTCGGTGGAATATTGTCAGACACAATTGTCATAACGACTGACAATGACAATAAAATTGTCAGAGCAAAGCCAATCTTTTCGCCGCTCTCAACAGGCAATATAAACACAAATGGTGCCATCGTAGCAAGAATGATAACTGGCAGGAGCATGTTCAAAAGATAGTATGAATACTTTCTCTTCAGTTCAAGAGTGAACTCTACTGCTGGCAGCTTATATCCACTCAATGATCTGAAACGAATAGATAAATATAATCATTATTAATGTATTAGGTCTTGAACTTCTCATCCATACAATAGAACAAAAATCCTAAAGAGCGCCAAAAACGTCAAAAAATGACAAGTTCAGTTTATTTGAGCCTCTTCGAAACAAAATAAGTCACATCGAATAATTGACATGTCGTCAATTCAATTAATATCTCACTTATATGGAGAGCAGTAATTAGAAATATGCTACCTGAATAAAAGAAAACAACAACAACAATAAAAACAAGTTTTGGCCTAGCCTTGGTTTCCAGCTCTACTGGGATTACGAACATTTTTCCTCAAACGAAATCACAAACGAAATCGGTTACGATTAGTTCCAGAAAGCATCTGCCTAAATCTAGCATATACATGTTTTAACTAACAGAAAGTTTGAGTAAATATAACTCTGTTTAAATTTACAGAGAGTTTTGAACAGTTTGAGCTTAACAAAATAACTGCTTATTGCCTTGTTTTGTTTACCACTGACGTTCCAATGATATCCCATTCACCGTGTTCCTTATAGATGTCAAGGTTAACTGTCGATGTGCTGGAGCCCAGATCTATCATGTGTTCAAGAAACATCCATGAAGAAACCTTTGATACGAAAAACACTTTCATGAGCTTTGCCAAGTATAAAATTGTTTTTGTGACAGTATCCTTTTTTTCATATTTACATTTATTACAAAGCAATGCTTTTAATAATTTAAACAGTCTCAATCAAATGTTTTGTTGTTGCTTTTTTTAAGTGGGGGGTCTGAAAGATATTGCAAAATTTCTTTCATAATAAAAAAATCAAACGGTTCGGTTAGTTATCATGGGTGACTATTACAAAATAAATCATATAAATGTTTTTTAATTGCATAACAAAACAAAAGACAAAATAGATTTTTAGTGTCTCAGTGAAAGCATGCTTTGATTTTTAATGCAGAAACTTCTAGCAAGTAGTTTGTATATGAAACAAAGGCTTCGAGCCCAATGGCAACTCACAAACAGCTGTGATCATTTTACATATTGAATATTTGTTTATTTAAAATCAAGAAATTTTGCTTTTCAATGTTTTCCTTTTTTAAGACTATTTGAAATGCTTTGTGTATATTGTGAATTGTATCATGATTGTATATATATTCTGAGAAATAAAATCTGTTGAAACTGAGAAATTTTGTGGCAAAATTCATTATTTTAGTGAAATAACGGTCTGTTAGTTATAATTAAAAAGTTGATAGTAACAAGTATAACAACCACTTTCTGAAGCTTTGTGAATCAAATGGATAATACTTGATGTTGATTGTGCATTGTGCAATAAAAGTTGCTGGGGCCATCCAAATAACTTGACCCCATGAAGTAAGATATACAGGGGAACTCGCAAAATCAGAATTGTCCCCAATTATCTTAAATTCGTCAGCTCTGAAAAATTCAAATAGTACCTATTATTATAATATATAACAAACTTTTATCATGAAAGATACCTTCAACTTATGAATGTGCAAAATGCTTATAAAAATGTTTGTGACAGGAGTAAGTACAGACTGAATCCAACCAAGTCTGCAATGTTCATGTAATTTGTTGTGATTGATGCTTCCGATGGATCACCCTTTATCCAGTTTGTTTAAATATATTGTATCTGACGTATCTATATATATATACACACAACGTTTGATCAAAGAAAACTGTATCATGACAGTTAAATATAAATGTCTAAAATAAATTGGTTAGTTATTGGCGCAAATTAAGACTAACTAAATTCATATAACGACAACAGACTGACTAAATAATGCTTACGCATTACTCAATACAAGTGGTGGAATCCATATCTGTGACAACATAAACATAGAGTCAGTCATATTTCCGTAGTCCGAAGCATTCCATTGCAGTTGCTCATCATGCCAATCCTGAAAGTAAAAGTTTATATAATTTTTTATATAAATCAACAGCAAAAATCAAAAAGTGCAGCACGCAATCTGGTCAGACTTTGAATCAATGTCCATTTTTTGGAATTCTGAAGGGAACGCGATTAAACAAACCAGAAGCCATTTTACGAAAAAGCATAAAATTATCCGTTTAAATCGGTTCTTCTGTGTTTCGTTATCTATATTTGGTACGAAGAAACAATATTGCCATGCCATCCCCGTGCTATTGCATTTTCAATTGACAGTAATGTTCTGATAATAAAACTGCTGGGCCATCTTTGCATTAAGCTCCTGTAACATTGCGCTCTGTCGATAGCAACGGTGCGTGGACATGCAAACATGTCCGTTAATGTATGTTTACTTTGTCGTTATTGCTTACCTGCGTGCGCAGGTTTATGCAAGAATAAGAATTGTTATAGCTTTTATATAAAAACATATACAGGTAAAGTTTGATTTACCCTTTAACAATATTTGTGATGACACTTAAAGATGTCATTCAAAATAAGGATGTCAGGTACATAGATCGGATAAACTGTTAACTTAAATTCAACATATATACACCATTAGTTGACTTGCCGGTGATATTGGGGGGGGGGGGTGTGGTTGGACGGTAAATTGCACTTTTCAGTACTGTCCATAAACAGGCTCAATCAAGCCGAGCGTGCAACATTTTCAATTTTGTCGTCTTGGGCGACCTGAAGAGATTTCATTTTCTTTACTTTAATGTAATTGGAGAGGTCATCAGACCTCTTCAGTGTTCAGACTGATTGCTGGCGGCATCCATTTTTGCGTATCTGATTGTAGTAATTGAATTTCATCGAAAGCGTTAAGAATAAGGAGCAGTCTACAAAATTGTTATGCGCATGCTCCGATTCAAAATACGACTTAACTTATACGAAAAGTTAACATCGAAGTGAAGAAATCGGTACATAGGAAAAATGGAAAATATCATTTACGTTACTGTGCGCTATGTGGATGTTTCTTTTACACTGAATAAACATATTACCGCATTGTTTTCTGAATAGCATTTTACTATTTCATGATCCGATAAAATAGAAACAGTGACAGTGAATAGCTACAATATCACCTTGCACTATAAATGACCGAGTTAACCTTGTGCTGCCGGTATTACTTAATTACACAACGGAGATATTTTGGCGCAAATGGCACAAATTTTACTAAAGATTGATTTTCTTCAAATAGTGTGGTTTGAGGCATGCAGCTTTATATACTGTTTATTCGAGTCAAACGACATAAACATTTTTTATGAAAATCTGGGACTTAAAATAATTTTATTAACATACTTTATGCCCGTTTTGGAAAAATGTAGAGGAAATGTTTCCATATACCTACCAAAACATTAACCGAAAATTTGCTTATTGAATTTTACAAGAAACTTTTATTTTGACCCTTTTTTTAAAATATATACCATTTATTGTAAATTTAGTTTGAAAACATGACATAAATTGTTCCTGTTGTAGAAAAAGTATCCCAATGTGCCAAGAAAAAGTCCATTTTTCAGGCATATAATCTTTCAAAAACATTTTTAAAAAATGAAGTGTAAAATAAACTTTCATTATGATACTAAAATTAATATATATATATAGTAGATTCTTTTTTTAATAATTGTAAATAATAACCTTTCATTGTGCCTTTTATGCAAAATATATCCAAATATTTTCGAATTAAACTGCAAAAATACCTGTTGCATGCTTCTTTTTAAACAGGCAAACTTTTATTTGCAGAGGTAAATCACATTAAAGGTATCTTTTAGGTTTTATAACTATTAGTTTGGATATAGAAGACATTACTTACTACTATAAGAAATCCCATACTGTGTAAACGTTGTGTCACAATATCCTGTGAAAAAAAAACGAGAAATAATATGTATTTAATCATAACACATTTTTTAATGCAGAATAACAAACATTCATAACCCATCTATTTGTAATTTACCAGCTAAAACTAGGCACAAATAAGTGAAATAACTATAATTTCACGATTTTTTTTTAAGAAAAATTCTGATTTTCATATCACTTGCAACGTACCTAGTACCCGCCTATATGACTGAAATACTGTTGGGAAAAGGCGTAAAATGAAACAAAAAACAACAAACAGCAACGTACCTACTGTAAATTATTTTATATTCCCGAATCATCGCGACGGCAGGGTCAGAGATTTAAATTCGTAAGATTTTGTATCTTATTTCCGATATACGATGTCTCAAATGCATTAATTTCCAAACTTTTTCGATGTAAATTTACCTTTAATGTTTTATCTCATCAAGTGATGATTTAATATTATGATTTCAATTCCAAACTTCAAATAAAAATAGAATATTACATTCATAATATATTGATTTAAAGACTTTTTCATATAAATTACAACGTACTAGTATGTTATTTATGATTATTGTTTGATGTGCAACACTTATTCATATGAAGTATGTTTCAGTCTTTTCATAAAACAATTCTAAAAATGCAAGTTTCAGTATTATTTTCAACTAATAAGGATCGCTTTTTTATAACAAAAACACTTTATAAAAGTGTAAGATTCGGTATTAATTGCAGCTTACATGTACAAGGATAGGGTTTTTCTTCTAAAAAACCGCTCATTAACATTTTATTATCATATTGCAGTGTGCAAAACTTAGTGGGATTTCATTTTAATATGTTTTTAAAAATTTTACAAATTATTTCCTTCATGAAATAGGTGAAAACACACAAATATTATTGTAAATTAATGAATTGAACTTTTAGTCTAGGTTTGTTATGAATAGCGAATAACCATAACAAGTTTGCAGGAAAATAAGCTCAGCGTCGTGTCCGGTACCAAATCTGTTAGGCAGTCACCCTTTATTTCTGTTTCATTTTGAGAAGAAAAGCATGAGAAACAAATATTAGTAGATTTTGTTTATCCCAGCATGTGAATAGTTAATCATAATTGAATCATATTGCCGTTATATAAATATCTACCCTACCAGCTCTGTTATGTGCATTAGTCCAAATTCCAACATGAGGTTTGTCTGCGACTGTGGCCTTTGCCTCTTGTCGTAGTTAGATAGTTTATCATTATGTAGTGTGGTTGTATCATTCACAGTATAGGCTGACACCATTCCCTTGGGGATGCTGATAAGACCCGCTGAAATGACGAAATCTTCATTAAAAAAGATATTAAAGATATTATTCCTGAAAATACCTTGTATTAAATATACACTACATTCTTTTTATGACATAAAGTCTTTCTGTTCACTGAAATACGTTTATTAGACCTTACTCGTAAAAATATTTTTGATCTACTATTTGTTACATTTTGGAAAAAAAATCTTCTTTTTTGTAAAATGTAGCTGATTCGTGAAATCAAAGTGGCGATTCGGTATTTAAAAAAAAAACTAAAATGGGACTTTTTCAATGACAATAAGACAAGGGGTGTTTCTTCTTCTTTGTTTTTAAATAATATTTTTAATGGTAGATATAGAGGTTTTGTTAGTTTCAAAGATATGTAAGTAGTGTGTAGTTTGTTAAAATAATTTGATTTATATTTAACAGCTATTAAAATTTTGTTTTGTTTAATTTGAACATTTTTTCAAAGATTTATAGTTGCTCTTCAATGTAACAATTTATTTGACATTCTAAGTATAATATTTTTCATTGTTTTTATGATGGGTAATTAGAACTTAAAGGAGCAAAATCAAACTTATTTCGGTTTATACTTGTATTTGATGAAATAAAAAAGCAACAGTTAAAAGCAAAATGTATACTTTTAGTAAAATTAATTATGTAGTTTAATAAGTACTGAACTATTCATTTAAAAATCAACACTTTCCTTGTGCAAGAAAAAATCAATACATTTGAATAAGTGTAAAGACGTATTAAATGGTGTTTAAGGTCAAAAAGCCTAAAAAATAAAATCAAAATTCTTGCATAGATCAAGTAATACACCTAAAATTGTAAAAATTGTATGAAAATACCAAGAGTTTCATTTAAATTCGATTTTTTGAACGATCTTTAGTCCAGAATGAGTGAAAAACGTTGCAGCGCTGATCCTTTTTTTTCATTTAGGACAATGAAAATAATTGTTCAAGGAAAATGAAATTAAATTTTGCGCACAATTTAGAAGGTCAGACCTACATCAAATGGTACCCAAGTCTGAAGTCGTTCATGTAAACAATCTCAATAGAAAGATGATTGTAGTTATTGTAATTTCCATGTTTCTGAAGACGAGTATCACTTTTTGTGTTATCGTTCTTATCAATGTCATTGTTAAATTAAAAATAAAAAAAAGATTTAATCATGAATTTGGTCTGAAAATGACTAAGATTGTAAAGAAACTCTATTGAGGATTTTTTAAGATAACTAAACTGGAATATTACTGGAAATATTTTGATGAATGAACTCGTGCGCAAAACTTTTCGCTTTCAATTTTTTTTCAGGATACTTACTAACATTTTAAAAAATGACATAAAAATGAAAAGCGTTTATACACTTACAACTCAGATCGAGTAAAGAATATCACAAAGGAGAGTTTTTAAATTAATTTTAACACTATCATTTGTATCATCTTTTGCATGTCTTTTCGTTTCAAGAAATTCTTTTATAGAAAATATCTATGTTTTTACTCTTTTGGATTTCTGTGAAGCTCCTTTTGCAAATGATAATTTTGTACGTTTGTCTTTTATTGTATATAGATAAAACAACTAACCTAAAATACACGTAGTTAACAAGAGATTCATCTTGAAATTTTAATCCTTATGTTGTTAAGAATATTCAAATTTTATAAATCAAAATATATTTAAAATATTTCCTACAATAAACATTTAGACAAATGCTCATCAAACAAAACTTTAAGATAAAAAAAACAATATAGATTTCCCTGATCAAATTTTAAAAATTAAATTTTTGCTCGAAATTTGCTAAAAAGTATGCAAGTGGAATGCTCTGTTAAAACTGATTTGAGGGAAAAGTAATTTATACTAATGATACAGGACATGCGCAATAATTATTTATTGTTATAGGTCATTTATTGAATGCTCCCCTTTTGATTTAAAACCATGATCGGCTTATTCACTTTCTGCAGTATTTATCATTACATAAACAGATTTATATCACTCAGTAAACTCATGTTTCAAATGTTCTGACTTCTTGGTCTTATTTAACGAACTGCAATGTTTGACCAAAATGTGGGACCGTGACGTCTTTGAAGATTGAAAGCTTAGGCTTTTAGGTAATTTCCCATACATTTGTAATGTTTACTCATTTGTAACAATATTTTGTCAAAGAGTTCACTTATTATGTAATTCATAAACAAAATTGATTTTACTCACACTTAATGGCTTATTGATCATAACACAATAATTATTATTATATTACATTACCATTATATCACATAAAGTGACAATGTTTAAAGAAAGGCACAACAGTTAAAGGTGTTTATTGGAAAAACAAAACGCCCGGTTTTCGACCACATGCAAATGTGCGTCCATTAAGCATTACAAATCAAAAAGTGGGGAAGGTTATACGTGTGAAAGTAATTAATCCCTGTTATTAAGTGAAACATTTGAAACATAATCAAATAGTACATATTGTTACATATTTTGTCCCTTCTATTCAACTTTCAGTGTGAGATGGATTTAAGGCTTACTTGTGGACAAGTTGTGGTTTTAATTATTTTACATAACGAACAAACCGTGTCCTACAAAACAATGAAAGATAATTAATTTAAAAATGTGTTTGTCTTTGTTACTGTTTTCTGTTGTTGTTTAATGTTCATGTTGTTAATTTATTTTATTTTTTATTTTATTTTTTAACTCATTTTATTTATTTATTTATCTTTTTTTTATTTTTTTTTTATTATGTCATTCTTTTCTTTTTATTGCGTTTGATTGATTGATTAATTAATTGATTTGTTGATTGATTTGTTGATTGATTGATTGATTGATTGATTGATTGATTGATTGATTGATTGATTGATTGATATTCATTTATTTATTATTATTATTTTCTTTATTTATTTCTTTATCTGTTTATTTATTTATTTATTTATTTAATTTATTTATTTATTATATAATTTTCTTTATTTGTTTCTTTATTTGTTTATTAATTAATTAATTAATTTATTTATTTATTTATTAATTATTTATTTATTTATTTATTTATTTATTTATTTATTTATCTATTGCTGTTGCTGTCAATTTTACTAATGTTTTAGTTTTAGTTGCTGAAGATGTCAATGTACCGTCAAAACGACAAACGAGAAACCGAGCTTGTACCGAATTTGTAAAAATATTTCAGACTGTTAGAAATACCAAATACCCTTTCCCCATTCATCTTTACCATAAATGTAGAATTAAATCCGCTTTAAATCCTCTTTAACTAGGTCAAAGAAGGTCAAGAAATATCCAATACTAATATGTAACAATCAGATAAGTATATTATGTTAATTAGGTACATAACAAGACCACGTGATGATTACGTCACGGTCCACCATTTTGATCCTGATTTAAATGGAATAAGTAGCTTATGAGAAAACAAATAAGTGATTAACCTTTTCTCTTTTAAAAATTGAAATCAAATAATTGAACAGTTTAAATCCCGTCTTAGGAAATAGGACTGTTATCAAATTAGATAGATATAAAAAATATTAATTCTGGAAAATGGGATGCCTTCAATTTGTTATAATCTTTGGTAAGATTTTGATTGATATTCTTCTTTCTTTACTGCCTGTATGTATGTATTCTGGGCTTAATGAGGGTCCGCCCTTTCAGGTATTGAGATTACGAACCTCGGACATGTCACCATTCACGTCCTTAAATTTTATTATCTTCTCAAAGGTGACATATAAATTTTGGATTCAGTAATTCACTGAATGATACTGAATATGTATGCAAGTCGATTTTCTTTACTGAACTGGGGAACGTTATTTTTTCAATCTATAAATAATTTTGTTAAGTCGGTCTGAAAAACTATCGGGTGTAAAAAAGACTATCCAGAATGACTTCATCTATGTTAAATATGGCCGAACCTCTTTAAAGACAATACCTATGTACAAAATAAGTAAATTCTGACTAAGAAAAATATATACATGTATAAAACGAAACAAATATATTGTTATTGTAAAGATCCTGTAACTCAATTTTTTTATGGTTTTATATCATTAATACGATGCTCAAATAAAGATTTAACAATATTATACGTTCCAAAAAGCATTATTTTTAAAGATATTACCGAATTTACATAAATTAGAGTAATTAGAAATTTATTTTCGATTACGTCTAAGCCTTACCCTTTAATCCCAAAAAGGGGAAAAATCCCCCCAAAAATCTCTTTTGGTGAAGGTCAAAAAACCAAACGAAAAAATGTAATATTTATGAAATAGGTTATAAAAATTTTGTTACTGACTCAACCCATTTTTTCCAATTTTAATTGTGTGGGAACAATAAGGGTTATTTTTTTTTGTAAAAAATTAAAAATAAAAATCTTTAAAAGGTTTAAAATTTATTATTTTAAAATTTTGGAAATAATCCTAATTTTTTATTTTTAAATTTTCTATATTTTTTCTTACACTTATTTTTTTGTCTATGTTCCCCCAAGTATTAATTAAAAAACTTCAAATTTCTTTAAAATTTTAAATTAAAACTTAGTTCAAAATTTTCCCTGAAGGATTACAAAAGGTTTTGTCGTTTTCTTTTAATAACGATTATTTTTAATTAAAAATTGTTAAGTCGGTCAAAATATTTTGAAACTCCAAAGATCCATTATTGATTGGGCGCTTCTTTGCTTTGTAAGAAATTTTTTTAAAAATTTTGTACGCAAAAGCGTAACAATTTGGTTTTAAATTTTAAACCGGATAAAATTTCTTGCAAGTTTGGAAAGAGGGGTTTTAAATCCCCCCTTTTTAGCGAGATTTGAGTTTAAACCTTTAAATTTATAGAAATATGGACTTTCCGTTGTTTTTAGTAATAGGTATATGTAACATTAAACAGGCAAAAGGGAAAATATGTTTCTTCCCAGAATTTTCCCTTTATTATAAAATAAAGACCGCATGTTTTTATTAAAAACTTCCTTTCTGCGTAGTGCACTTTAAAGGCATGTTTTCCTAAAGAAAATTTTTCTTTTCATTTGAGAAAGGCAACATGAATTTTATAATATTCTTAAATAATGGTCTTAGAGAATATTAGATGCTTTTTAAGCTGAAGAAAGTAGCAATAAATATGAAAATTATCAAAGTAGCAAAAAGTAAACAACGCAGTATTTTGACTGATATACCAAAAAAGCAACAGACGAAAAAATGGTTCAGGTAATTGGCCAAACAGTAACATTTTAAATACTGTAAAAGTACATCAAAACGAATTAAAAAAAACTTTGAGAAATTAAAGATAAAAAGCATTTTGGGTGGAACTAATGGCCCTTTAGCAATGTCAATATTTCTAGATTTTTTACAATAAAAAGCATTTGTCACAAATTAAGAACACATTCATTATCTTAAATTTGCAATCAAACGCGACACGTGGCGACAATTATTTCATGCAAACTATCGACACCAATATTGTGTACCCTGAAAAATACAGAATTAAGTAAAAACTAGCAAACATTAAATTTTTATTTTTAAAATTTTACCTATTTAAAATTTTTTAAATTTTTTCTGAACATGAATTTTAAAAGAATTAAAGCTTCCGCTTTTTAAAAAACCTTCTAAATTTTGGGAAGGTTTGGATTTGTTCCTCCTTTAAAACAATATTGAAAAATTTCAACAATCAAAATTTACTCCCGTTTTGATTGAATTTTTGGCTGAAGAAAAATGGTTTAGTTTTACGTTAATTTTAATTTTACCATAATTTTTTATTTGGGAACTTAATGTAAATTTCCAGGGTTGATTTTTACCCCAGAAAGAAAAGGCCGCCCTTGTTTTTATTTTTTTTTTGTTTGGGTTGTCAACCAAAAAATTTTAATAAAAAAGCGAAATTTAAGATCCTTGGTTGTTAAATTGCCGGGAAATATATTTTTGTAGGGTTATTTTTTATATTTAAATAAGGCGAAAATTAGGGGAAAGATATGCTAAAAGGGTTTCAAAGACAGGCGAATTAATTTCAATAAAAAACCCAAAAAAGGGTTTCGGAAATTCCAAAATTTTTTACTGTATCTCAAACGAAATAAGGTTAAAATAAAAGCGGGGAACAATTCAATTTCTAGACAAAAAGATTCACAAAAAACCCACAACAAGTATTTCCCTTTTCCAAAACGTTAAAATTATCATTTAAAAGAAAGAAAACAAAAATTTTTTAATTTTTTTTATCGTTTTCCAACAATTTACAATGCATTTCAAAGTTTACAGAAAAAATTTCAATTTAAAATTTGGGTAATTTAAAGGACTTCACAATATCGCATTTTTTTTATGAATTTAAACAGGGAAAAAACATTTACGATGTCAAAATTACCGGAATACTCCACTAGAGTAGTGGAAAAAATAAAAATTCTAATGTCGGACTTTTTTGAGAAAATTTCCTAAATTATTTAGTAGTTTTACCCCCAAAGAAGAAAAAGGCCGCTCTCTTTGCTGATTCTTACTTTTTTCATTTATGCTCTTACATAAATCGGTAAAATGAGATGAACTAGACGTCTTAATGTGCGTTTCGGCGGGTGATGAGGTGATGTATCAGCATTTATTTATGCAAGGACCTTGTCCGGTATATACCGTAACACAGTATTTAGTGTGGTGCTCCAACACTTCTTTTAGTCACATTCGTTATTTTTAGTATCATTCACAACCTTTGAGTACACTGATGATTCATAAGATATTCAATGTCGGATAAAGGCTCGTCCTATGAATGGTCGACGGGTGACCAATGTCGCAAGTTATCATTTCTTGTTAAAGAGATAAAAACATAACATTTGAATTTCTTACGCACTTGAAACAGAAATATATGCAAAGAAATTTAGGAAATATATATATTGAAAATAGTATGTTTAGGCTTTTCTTAGCCCGATTTGAGTGAAACGTGTTTAAACGCTTTTCATTTTGTGTCATATTTTTTACAATTTGAATAATTATTCAATAGAAAACGAAGTGCGCGAAAGATTTTGCACAAAGATTAGTGGTCTAAACCTTCATCAAATGGTACATTTATCTGGAAAAAAAATATTTTCAGTCCCATCATGTCAAAAAACCTGAGTGGAGCCCCTTTAAAGGCACAATATTCTAAATGAATAATAATATTTCTTCTCTTCTTATGAAGGATCTAACATGCGTTTACTTACTTTTAAATAATGGATTCAAAGAATATTAGACGCTTTTCACACGCTTTTTAGTAGCGCTAAAGGCAAAATAAATTTGTCATAAAAGAAGTGAATCGTAATAAAATACTAAATCAGTCTGCATATTGTGCAAAATTGAAAAAAGGCAAAAGACTTATGGGATGCTTCATCTATATCGCCAATGAGTACTATGAGTACTTTTTCTTCAGCAATTGTACAGGACACTTAATGAAAAAAAGGTTAGAGATATGAAATAAATTTTATTTTTGGGGTCTTAATCATTTGTAATCGTTAATCGGTTAGTTGACATATGTTTCATCTGATGAATTTGACACCTATAAAACAATACAGTTCATCAGGAGTCAATTGCTAGCAAACATCAAGTAAAGTATTCTTGTCATTATAAATATGATACTTTCAGTTGTCTCCTCGGAATGATTCTTCAGGGAGAGAAAAGAACAAACAAAAAACCAAAGAAACCAAAAGATATCTTAAAGGCACAGTATGCCTCAGAAACATTTTTCTATATTCCTTCAGAAAGGGCAAACATGAATTTAATAATGTTAAAATGATAGCTTAAGAGACATGCTGAATGATGGTTCAGATAATTGGCCAATCAGTATCTTTTTGGATATTATATTAAAGTACACCAAAATTAAATAAGCTATTGAGACAAATAAATATATAATCATTTATAATGCATAATTGGCCTTTAAAGCTAGAGTTTGGGAAACTCTTGATTACGAGGCTAAGAAAAGGTTTCCATCGAACTGTCAGAATATGTGTCAATTAAAAAAGCCATCAGGTATCCAATTTTGACCATCATGTTTACAAAACGTCCGAGTCGGATAATTAGAACAGCGGTATTGGGAGAAAGTGAATTATTTTTTAAATATAATTTTGATTAAATTATTATATTATTTCTATAATAAATAATAACTAAATCAACTCAAACATATGACAACATATTTGTTTAGAATTGTAATATAATCTATTTTGTTTCTTTGTCAATGAATAGGTAGCTTCCTGGTTGTTTACTTTAAATGAGATAGATCTTGTATCTTTGACTCCTATTGTCAACACAGATCTATACGAGGATCACGGTGAATGGGAAATTACCGAATCGTCTGCTACAGTAGTCAAGAGGTTAGTTAACCCACGACATTCTTGGTTTGTTGTTGTTTTTACCATATTTCGCTAAATGTGTCAAGCTTTCATTTTTGGAACTGTCCATTGTTAGATTAGTTGATATCTTTATGGAAGTTCGAAATACGTCAGCATACAGTATAGAGCTTGGTCATGGTCTGCATGTTGACCTGACACTGTTTTGGAAGCAGGGGGCCTACGGTTCATCTAGTAAGGGGGTGAATGTCATGATTTTATAAATGTGTCATCCTCGGCAGCCCAGGCTGAAGACGGCCCTCTGAATTTTCGTACCATATATCCTATAGTAAATCTATCACATCTAATACTAAATTCTGGACACAGCATATCCCATACAGGCATTTGGTGGCTATAACTTTCAGCAACAATGCTATCCAACTAAATTTAGCACAAAAATAATACATTAGCCCTTGGATTTTTTTCTGCAGCTTTTAATTTGTGTAAGCACTATAAAATAAACCAAATAAACCAACTAGGGTGTATTCTGGCGCATAGTTCTTCCTGAAACCTTCCACCAAGAAATGAAATCCTGCAAAGATACAAAAAAAACCTTTAAAGCACCCAGAAATGAAACTTCATGAATTCATGAACACATTTACAGAAAATATACTTAAAATGTAACAGTCTTACCAATGCTGACTTGAAATGGACCACTTCAAAATTTAAAAGAACTACTTTCTAGACTATAACGGGCTGGGTCTAATTCCGGACCGGGGTGACACCGTCTATGTACCGTATATCAGTGTCGGTAAATAACGTATGGAATGTAGTATATACGAACTGTGTATCGTGGGTTTCGACGATGTAAATTTGTATATTCGTACAAAATATTTATGCACTTTTTAGCTATATATAGTCTTCTGACCTTAAGTTAAGCTAAACCCAGTATTTCACATTTATTATATATTTTTGTTAAAGAATAATTAATCGTCATATGATTTAATTGATTTATCTTGTTTTTAGTACTATCATAATAAACGAAAATTTGTAAATCGTACTGTCCGTCATCATGTAAATTCAATAACTTATATGAAATGAATTACTTACTGCACGTTAAACCCGTCAATTTGTTTGTCTCATTTTTGCAGAGTTTTATCTGGCTACACAATGCCGGCAGTCAAATTCTCGATTCAGCTCAAGAGAAAGTATTCATACTATCTGTTGAACATGCTACTCCCAGTTATCGTCCTTGCCACGATGGCGCCATTTGTTTTTATTCTGCCGGTAGAGAGTGGAGAGAAGAATGGTTTTGCTCTGACAATTTTATTGTCATTGTCAGTTGTTATGACAATAGTTTCTGACAATATACCGCCGACATCGACAAACGTTTGCATTCTCAGTAAGATTTGTTGTTGTTTTTGTTAATGTCTTCGTTTTTTTGTTTTTCCGCATATTAGCGTCATCATTAAAATAAAACGGAAGCGGAAATAGAATTTGTCAGAGATTTTTTTCATAATATATCTATTCCGGCACTTACGAACTTTCGCTATACGTACATGCAGTATTTCGATAGAGCGGAAGTCAGTGCGCGAGCATGCGCTTTGCCATATCTCGTTCAGTTACCGCTCACGTTTTAAACTCGGTTGCTATGAAGCGACACTAAGTGTACATGGCTTTTACAACTAAAATATCAGACAAACACATTAAATCAATACACATAAACTACACAAAGTTGTTTTCCATATTAGTATTTTGCATTTGAAACTGATAGTCAAACAAATATCTCAATATTCTTACCGATTTAATGTATTGTTTACATGTGATGACAGCAACGCTGTTTGTTAGATTACTTTCGGTTCAGAAAATTCATTTGTTTACCATCAAAATTCATATGTTTACCAAAGGAACCATATATAGATAGAAAGCAAATTAAACAAAGGTAAAGAAAAAATTGTCTGTTTCTGAACAAAAAATCGAATAAATAAATACAAAGTCTTTTTAAAAGGTCCCTTCTTTGAGTTCATTTGAAAGGGGAATAATTTGGTGGAATTTTAGACAGGGAAAACAGGGAGTTATCTTTCATGGCTAGGGAATATGGCCGACTGAAATCATGCAAGCAAGTTTGTAAGTGTCCGGATTAGAATTTTAATGATAATAAAACGAACAGTATAATTTCATGCTGTACTGATGGTTAAATAAAATGATAATTTGTATTTATGACTGATATCTGAAGCAAATATGAGCTATGTTGTTCATACCGGAAATTGGTGGAACATCCGTGGCCGAGTGGGTAAGGTCGTTGGCTTCGAGTCTGCTCACCGCTGGATTCTTTCGTGTGAGGTAGCTATCCAGCTAGCTTACGGGACGCCGATGGTTCTACCCGGGTGCCCGTTCGCGCCTGAAATAATGCACAGAGGGCGCCTGAAATTTTTCATCACCAGTAAATCTAGAATTTCGCCATATGTGTCGATGTGACGTAAACGCCAATCAAACAAATAAAGCAAACAAAACCTGAAATTGGTTGAGGTTCACAATGCAGGAAAAGGTTATTTATTATTATTATTATTATTATTATTATTATTATTATTATTATTATTATTATTATTATTATTATTTCATTTCAGGTGTCTATTTACTTGTAACGTTTATCATTTGCTCTGTGGAAACAGTGGTTACAGTAATCACCTGTAGATTTCACGAGCTTCATAATAAAGATTACATCATGGGGGCTCGATGCCAGAAAACTGCAAAACTTCTTGCAAAAGTGACAAGATATCGGTAAGTGGTAGTTGTGTTTTTAAAAATTCCCGTTTTTTTCTTTTGTTTCGATTTCCAAAACATCTTAAAGAATCTTTTTCCTTCGTAAACAAATCAACATTTGAGCCGCGTCACGATAAAATCAACATAATGCGTTTGCGACCAGCATGGATCCAGACTAGCCTGCGCATCCCAGGTTGATGCAATAGATAGTTGTAAAATAATTGTTTCCAGAGTGGTTTCGGAAATTTACTGTCACTTTACTAGATATATAGAGGATATTTGTTTGTTTGTGTGTAAGATGAAAACAGTATTTGGTGATTGGTAATTTGAATGAATAGAAGTAAGTTTTCTTCTTTTAATAACTTTTGACATTAAAGTTATTAATCAATTTCAGCTTTGCTTTTCTCTGAACAGCCTGACATTGTCAGAATTGTCAGCAAAAATAAATTTGAGGTATCACATGGGGAAAATCTTAAGAAAGTAGTTTCGTCATTGAAAAGTGTGAAATTATATTTTGATTTTTTTCACTGTGACATTATCAAATATAATTTTCACGGATAAATCAGTAATCCACTGAAAAGCATAAAATAATTCATCCTTATTTTTATCCGATTATTTTTCTTTCTGTTTTATCATTTGTGTATTTAAAACTTGAATAGGGTCGTTTCTATGCAAAATCATTATTTGTTTTTTTCATTTTCAGCACATTACCATCAATTGTTTAGTTTATTATAACAATAAGAATATAATTAGGATCATTTGATCCAGTTTCAGATTTCTTCTTAGTGAACACGGGGCATGTGTTGATAGCGTCAATATGATCTTATATTTAAAGATATACTGTGCTCATATTTTAAGTATTATAACAATAAGAATATAATTAGGATCATTTGATCCTGTTTCAGATTTCTTCTTAGTGAACACGGGGCATGTGTTGATAGCGTCAATATAATCTTATATTTAAAGATACACTGTGCTCATATTTTAAGTATTATAACAATAAGAATATAATTAGGATCATTTGATCCTGTTTCAGATTTCTTCTTAGTGAACACGGGGAATGTGTGGATAGCGTCAATATGATCTTATATTTAAAGATACACTGTGCTCATATTTTAAGTATTATAACAATAAGAATATAATTAGGATCATTTGATTTTGTTTCAGATTTCTTCTTAGTGAACACGGGGCATGTGTTGATAGCGTCAATATAATCTTATATTTAAAGATATACTGTGCTCATATTTTAAGTATTATAACAATAAGAATATAATTAGGATCATTTGATCCTGTTTCAGATTTCTTCTAAGTGACCACGGGGCATGTGTTGATAGCGTCAGTATAATCTTATATTTAAAGATATACTGTGCTCATATTTTAAGTATTATAACAATAAGAATATAATTAGGATCATTTGATCCTGTTTCAGATTTCTTCTTAGTGAACACGGGGCATGTGTTGATAGCGTCAATATAATCTTATATTTAAAGATATACTGTGCTCAAATTTTTAAATATTATAACAATAAGAATATAATTAGGATCATTTGATCCTGTTTCAGATTTCTTCTTAGTGAACACGGGGAATGTGTGGATAGCGTCAATATGATCTTATATTTAAAGATATACTGTGCTCAAATTTTAAGTATTATAACAATAAGAATATAATTAGGATCACTTGATCCTGTTCCAGATTTCTTCTTAGTGAACACGGGGCATGTGTTGATAGCGTCAATATAATCTTATATTTAAAGATATACTGTGCTCAAATTTTAAGTATTATAACAATAAGAATATAATTAGGATCACTTGATCCTGTTCCAGATTTCTTCTAAATGAACACGGGGCATGTGTTGATAGCGTCAATATAATCTTATATTTAAAGATATTCTGTGCCCAAATTTTAAATTCGGAAATATTAATAACTGCTTCACAGTCTATTTTGGAATATAAAATAAACGTGTTTTGACTTTAAACAAAGTAAATACAATATATGTTATGTTTTAAGCTCAAGCTCAATACACTAGAAGTTGAAACAATATGAATAAATAATGTCACAAAAACTGGCAGAAAGAACCATCTTTACTTGACCCATGATAGGGAATGTAGCTCCCATACATAATTTACACTTTCTTTTATTCAAATTAGATATACTTAAAAGAATTTCATAGATTTCAATAATTTCTACGATAACAGTACTTTACTCAAAGATAAGCAAAGTATCTCTTTAATAATACCGACAAAGGTTGGACATGGTAACTTTAACATCATTAAATAATTATACATAGCTTCATCTCCGGACGTTAAACACTCTGATAAACTATAGATGTATACCTTCGTGTTATCTTTTCAGACGAAGAGATCAGACGAAGGCCCAAAATTGGAGACGAAACAATTGCGCAGTCAGTTGTAGTACAAGTTGATAATCCAGCTTAAGTTGGTCTATCAGAACAAGCAGGAAAAGAAGGCGGTGCATGGGCGGACAATACCGAGGCAAATACTGATCATGATAAAGAGGGGAAAGTTTATTTTGAGTATTCATATGGAGATATTGTTATGATGGATGAAACGTTTAATTTTGTCTTTTTTACAACATTGACCCTTTTAGTTACAATACTTTTCATAGCGATGTTGAACTCGAATCCACCATAAACCACAAACAACATTCTGGTACTTGTTATATGGTAGGGAAGTAGTTATCCATTTTAAGCTATATAAAATACAAGCAAATTAACAAAACTTGTACACGTCGTCTTACTTTCAGTGGTGCTTAGGTCTGATAGAAAAAAAATTAGATACACAAACTTGCTCAAAACACACAAAAAATCACTGCATTCTGGTACTATTGCTTGTACTTTGTTTCCGTGTCCAAAATATAAAGTTGGCTGATCTTGAAGTTCACGCCGTAGTGAATTCGAAAACCGGATTATATTTTGTGTGCAGCTTTACCGTAGAAGGTTTGTGGTTAGGTTGAGGTTTCCCCTGGTCCTTGCAATAATTAACAACTGTTTCACCTGGGATGTATAAATCAACCAGAATGAACACGTGTAAAAATCAACATAATTATAGCCTTCAAACTAGTGGTATAACGTCAAATGATTCGTTGATTCGTTGATTTCTATAGCCGCCTTTTTGTTTTTTGAGTTTGCATTCCACGAGTATGGCATTGGTTATCAATTGACCTTACACATGCCTTTTCTAACATCATGCCATAAACGTACACATAATTAGGGTCATCTTTCAGAATTAAGTGAACCAGTGAAATATCAGTTTCTTTGTAAAATTTATATGAAAAAAATCCTTTATATACATGTATATAAATGTATTACGTTTAGTTAATACATAAATAAACTGTTATTTTAAAAAAATATTATGGACTTTGTCTTTAAATATCCAGGATTGTATAATATTAGGCTATATGTTAAATTAGTGTTTTGTTAGTAATATGGGTTTTACGACTATTGCAGATTTATATAGGCGCACCTAAATGTATTTCCCCACTTGTATAGCCCATATGGGACTCACTCGTATCTTGGACAAAAAATACCTTATATTTTGTCAAGCTAGCTGGCTGGGTAAATACACCACTGATATAAAATTACCTTCAAATTCTGTGGACCTAGAGCACTTTTTCATGCAAGATACAATGTACAAGACAATTATATACCCTTATCCATTTCTTATACACTTTCTTGTTTATATACTTAGTCTAGTGAGTTGTTTAAAAGAAGCTCGAATAACTTGCAGTCAACATACAATACAGTTCTATATGTATTTGTTATCTATTTCCATCTGTCACAAAGTGACAAAAATGATCAGCCTGACCGGGACTCGAACACGGGACCCTCGGAATACCGCTTACACATCTTCTCCCCTAAATAGTGAACAGTTCCGAACCGTGACATACTCCCCTGCTATATTGAAATTCGATACAGAGCAATGTAACTTAATTTCTGAGTTATATGCAGTCACGGCCCCACGTTGGGTGCCAAATGTCACAGAGTGAGAAAAATGTGCACCCTGACCGGGACTCGAACTCAGGACTCTCGGAATACCATTCCGCGGCTCTACCGACTGAGCTATCCGGTCGCTTACATATCTTTTCCCCTAAAAATAGTGAACAGTTCTGGATCGTGACACATTCATAAAGCTACTGTGCTTTATAATCAGCGATTTATGACGGGTAAGTTGGTGAAACCATTTTAAAAGATACTCCGTCTCTCTCTCTCACCGTTGTTTTTACGTTTTTGGAAACAAGTGTCGTAGAAAGAATAAACTGTATACTCTACATTTACATGGAACTATACGTGTCATCCGTGGCCAGGTGGTAAGGTTCTTTGACATCAAACCACTTTCTCTTCATCGCTGTAGGTTCGAATTACGCCAGTAATATTGGATTTTAAGTAGATTACGGAACATCGTTGGTTGTACTTATGAGTCCGCTCGTGCGTTGAAAATGCACGGAGTGGCACATTTGGGACCTGTGGTCTTCCTCTACAAGTAAAGCAAGGAAGTGGCCATATTTTTTACAGTGTTGGTGAGATTTGAATCAAAACAAACAACACAGAAGACAAGTTACTACTAAAATTGGCTCAAACTTACCAAAAATTTTGCACTATTATCCCGTTATACTTTTTTAAGGGTTTCAACGTATTATTTTTAATATCAAACATTTTACTTCTAGCATAGAGTTGCCTGTAAACATAGTTAAAATTATATGTGTTGAGGCATTACGTTTTAAAGGAATGTAAAAATATAGTCATTTCGTATTTAAAAGAAAGACAACCCTCCCGTGAAGTCGTGTATTGATTGTGTAAGCGTTGTTTCCCTTGTTCTCCAGCAGTGGGAACATGATATTAAACTCTTCAGCCACCTGTGGAGTTTTCTTCTGTATTTTACAAATACACACAGCACTGCTGGGTTCCAGGTCCAATCTGCTTATGAAGTGTCAAGTATTTTAAATAAACACTGACACCGCCATTACCATATTCTGTTCTAGTTTTCCTCTCAGGCGCGTGCACGTTACTGAAAAACTTCTACCGTCATTGTATTAGATACTGACGAACAAAACTGAATACGTAGAACCTTTTGGATGTCGAGACATTTGACAAACAACTCGTGACATATATAACGTATATGATGAAATTTTACCGGATCTGTAATAAGCAGATAAATTGTAACTGAGACCATTTTTATGAGGTAACGCCGAATTCGTGAAGGACTCACTGAAGAAACGTTGGTTACATCATTAAAAGAAGCTGATAATAGTTGACTTGCCTCGTCCTAGTTTTATACAATAGCAGTTTGGCAAATGTCTATATAAAGGTAAACCGAATAATTAGAAAATAAAGTATTAAATGCCTAAACAGAGCTGCGAATCAGAAAAATGTATATCTTGTTTATTTCTCTTATTAAGACTGAAAACCAGATATGTGTATTAACATGCTCCGCAATTGCCCACTTTATATGGTATATGTTTCCAGCAGAACTATTTTGTAAAACAGAAATATCCCTTTTTCATTCAATGACAATGGCGTCTGTCTACATATTGTAGGATACGACGAAGTCTTGATTTCCAGCCCTGGTGATTTCGACGAATTTAAAACAGTAGTCAGGTTGTCATGATAAAAGTACACATACTCCTGGAAAAAAGTTGTAAAGCTAGTTAAATTATAATATCATACAAGCCGTACCCGCTTATTCATTTTAGGATAACATATTTTTGTCTGTTTACTTACTTTGTTTCTCGTTTGTACAGATTCGGCGTAACTTACGCGTTATTTACACATCACAGCGCTACTTGGTTTATACGCAGTACATATGGTAATTATCATTTAGCAGTATGATTTGTAAATGCCGCCATTTGGTATAGTTATTTAGCATTTACATTTACATATACACTGTTATGTTGACACTTTACATATTACAGGTGTTGACACTTACTCATTACAAGACCACAAGGAAAGAAACATGTATCTTTTGAGCTACAAGCGGATGCAATGGAAATCATGTAAATGAGTTAAAAGCCATCTTTTTTCACGGTAAATCGCCGGACAGGTAAATTAGTGATCGCCGTCCTTTTTGCCCATGCTTGTCCGTGTTTAACGTCATTATTTAATATAAGAAATATATGATGAATATTAATTTAAAAATTGAATGTGTGTTTTCTGTACGAAATCTGCTGCGGTCATAGTATTAGTTTTACAATAGGTTAAGCTCTTAAATTTTGTTTGTAAATCATGTCATGCAAGTAGAAAAGGAGACGCATGTTTTGGTTGAATCTATTATGTTTCGTTTAAGGGATAAGTGAAATGATGTTGTTTTTTTTTGTACTGCTTTTTGGTGTGTTGTTGGTTTTTTTGTTTGTTTTTTTTTTTGTAAATAAATAACCATTTCTCAAATATGTGACTAAGGTTAACAATAAAATTCTACCTTTAATGAATTAGTCTAAGAAAGAAAAAAATCCTGTTCGTGTAATAAGGCGACCAGATTTACGAGTTCAGAGAACAAATTACGCGTAAAAAATGTTATTTTTATTGTTTATATTTATATTTCTGTGGGTTACGCGGGAAAAATTGGTTTTTACTGTTTATATTTATATTTCTGTAGGTTTGCACGATTCTCATATGTTCTGTTCAATGGAAGATGAAAACAGTAAATTGATCGTGCATTGTTATTTTATATTTGATTTCCTTGAAAACATTTTGCTCATCTGAAGGCATGCAACTTTAATATTATGATACATTTATTACATTCCCTGAAAATGTTTAAAATATCTGATGACATGTTTGTTCATTTTACATTACAGCTTTCATGCAGCAACCACAGGAAAGTCTTCACAGAAGTTAGAATGCAATCGTCCATATATATTAGGTACAAATGTATATAATATTTTTTTCTTTATTTTGGTCTATAACTACTTGTTAAAATAAAGTATTACGGATTATTTACGAATTATTTCTATATATTCCATTATGTAGGTATATATAAGTTGATTGGTGATTGGTTAGAGTAAAATCACTAGTAGCCTGTGACACGTTTAATCTTTAATTTTCTTGAGTTACTTAGAGCTCCGCAGTAAATTCATTTTCTGCGCATTGCAATGCTCTCCAAATTAAGTTTTAATTGAGCATACTGAACAATTGAACGGTTTAATCAATTATTGAGCGCTAATAACTTACTTATGCACGAAGGGGGAACTGTTACGCGAAGGATGGAGTTCTAATGATAAATTGTCAGGAGTTCTTCTGATATCTGTCACGGAGTTCGACGGCAATCTTTTGTATATACTACAAAAACACTCGTCAAAATTGCACAAGACACGGGGGTAAGAAATAATATCTCTTGAACTAAAATACACTCAAAGCCAACATTATATATCCTCGTTTTTGTACTACGTGTCATAATGAATTACAACCTTATTGAATAATAAAAAAGCTTCAAATAAATAAAAACTGCCGTTATTAAGCGCAAGAAACACACTGGCAGTAACAAAAATTATCATAAGAAATCTAGGACATCTTCAGGGTTATCACAAGAACTCCAGGACATTTGAAAAAATCAGGTATAAATTTGTTAGCCGGAACTTTTTGTTTGCGGTAGGTTGTTATGTATGGCAAGGATGAAGACCAGTAATAAACAGGTCAATAAGTGCGAATTGACAAATAATTTGGAATAATATTGAATTCATTTATAACTGGCACAACGAACAATTGTTGGATAATTTGAACCCAATGTACGTGTTAAACATCGCCCTATTTCACCGCCAGACAAAAAAATTACTAACTGTGGAATTGAGAATATTTCGGGGATTTCCAAGCTAATTTTAATGTGCATACAAACTTGTTTTATTTACACGCAACAGATCAACTGCATAAATCAGCCACCATACATACATAAATTGCTGCCTTGGTGACAAGCTATGGGTTCTGACGAGAAGGTATTTTTGGTGTGCATTTTGAGCTGTTTCCTTTTTCCCGTCATTTGTCTTACAAACTATTGGTCTTTTCTCATTAAACTGGGTCAAAACCTCAGACTACGATAACATAGGCCTGGTATATAGTTGCTGTTCCGGGGACAACAATGACACATGAAAAAATAAAAATGGCGTTGAGGGTAAATGTGATTTCTTACTTTTCCTTAAACTTTTATGTAGACATTATCTTTAACAATTAAAGTTGTAATGCAGTAATAATGTTCTTAAGTATTTTGATTCTTTTACATTATATGCACATTCTGGAATGGCAATTACAGAG